TGCTTCACTTATATCTTTTTGAGCGTTATAATTTTGCTCTATGTGCTTCACTTAGATCTTTCAGAGCATGGTGGTGGATTTGTTTTAAAGAAACTATTGATCTCTCATGCTTCACTTAGATTATTTTGAGAGTCTTAATAGCATGGTAATTTGCTTAATATTAATATGCTTGGTATTCAAGATTTGTGAAACTTTCTTTTGAGTGCGTTGAATACTAAAAAAAGATTGATACTTGATAACTATTTTGAGATATGGAGGTGATAATATTAGAGCCATGCTAGTTGAGTAGTTGTGAATTTAAAGAATACTTGTGTTAAAGTTTGTGATTCCTGTAGCATGCACGTATGGTGAACCGTTATGTGATGAAGTCGGAGCATGATTTATTTATTGATTGTCTTCCTTATGAGTGGCGGTCGGGGACGAGCGATGGTCTTTTCCTACCAATCTATCCCCCTAGGAGCATGCGCGTAATACTTTGCTTTGATAACTTCTAGATTTTTGCAATAAGTATATGAGTTCTTTATGACTAATGTTGAGTCCATGGATTATACGCACTTTTTCCCATCCTTCCACCATTGCTAGCCTCTCTAATACCACGCACCTTTCGCCGGTATCATAAACCCACCATATACCTTCCTCAAAACAGCCACTATACCTACCTATTATGGCATTTCCATAGCCATTCCGAGATATATTGCCATGCAACTCTCCACCGTTCCGTTTATTATGACACGCTCCATCATTGTCATATTGCTAGCATGATCATGTAGTTGACATCGTATTTGTGGCAAAGCCACCGTTCATAATTCTTTCATACATGTCACTCTTGAGTCATTGCATATCCCGATACACCGCCGGAGGCATTCATATAGAGTCATATTTGTTCTAAGTATCGAGTTGTAATTGTTGAGTTGTAAGAAAAATAAAAGTGTGATGATCATCAATTTTTAGAGCATTGTCCCAAGTGAGGAAAGAATGATGGAGACTATGATTCCCCCATAAGTCGGGATGAGACTCCAGACGAAAAGAAGAGGCCATAAAAAAGGCCCAAATAAAAAAATGAGAGAAAAAGAGAGAAGGGACAATGTTACTATCCTTTTACCACACTTGTGCTTCAAAGTAGCACCATGATCTTCATGATAGAGAGTCTCTCATTTTGTCACTTTCATATACGAGTGGGAATTTTACATTATAGAACTTGGCTTGTATATTCCAATGATGGACTTCCTCAAAATTGCCCTAGGTCTTCGTGAGCAAGCGAGTTGGATGCACACCCACTTAGTTTCTTTTGATGAGCTTTCATATACTTATAGCTCTAGTGCATCCGTTGCATGGCAATCCCTACTCACTCACATTAATATCTATTGATGGGCATCTCCATAGCCCGTTGATACGCCTAGTTGATGTGAGACTATCTTCCCCTCTTTTTGTCTTCTCCACAACCACCATTCTATCCCATATATAGTGCTATATCCATGGCTCACACTCATGTATTGCGTGAAGATTGAAAAAGTTTTGAAAAAGTTAGAGTATGAAACAATTGCTTGGCTTGTCATCGGGGTTGTGCATGATTTAAATACTTTGTGTGGTGAAGATAGAGCATAACCAGACTATATGATTTTGTAGGGATAACTTTCTTTGGCCATGTTATTTTGAGAAGACATAATTACTTTATTAGTATGGTTGAAGTATTTTTTTTATGTCAATATGAAATTTTATCTTGAATCTTTCGAATCTGAATATTCATACCACAGTTAACAAGATTTGCATTTAAATTATGCCAAGTAGCACTCCGCATCAAAAATTCTCTTTTTATCATTTACCTACTCGAGGACGAGCAGGAATTAAGCTTGGGGATGCCTGATACGTCTCCAACGTATCTATAATTTTTGATTGCTCCATGCTATATTATCTACTGTTTTGGACTATATTGGGCTTTATTTTCCACTTTTATATTATTTTTAGGACTAACCTATTAACCGAAGGCCCAGCCCAGAATTGCTGTTTTTTTTTTGCCTATTTTAGTGTTTCGAAGAAACGGAATATCAAACGGAGTCCAAACGGAATAAACCTTTCTGGAACGTGATTTTCTTCTCGAATATGACCCAGGAGACTTGGACCCTAGGCCAAGGAAGCTTCGAGGTAGGCACGAGGTAGGGGGGCGCGCCCCCCACCCTCGTGGGCCCACCGAAGCTCCACCGATGTAGTTCTTCCTCCTATATATACCTACGTACTCCCAAACGAACAGATACGGAGCCAAAAACCTAATTCCACCGCCGTAACTTTTTGTATCCACGAGATCCCATCTTGGGGCCTGTTCCGGAGCTCCGCCGGAGAGGGCCGTCATCACGGAGGGCTTCTACATCATCATAGCCTCTCCGATGAAGTGTGAGTAGTTTACCTCAGACCTTCGGGTCCATAGTTATTAGCTAGATGGCTTCTTCTCTCTTTTTGGATCTCAATACAAAGTTCTCCCCCTCTCTCGTGGATATCTATTCGATGTAATCTTCTTTTTGCGGAGTGTTTGTTGAGACCGATGAATTGTGGGTTTATGATCAAGTCTATCTATGAACAATATTTGAATCTTCTCTGAATTCTTTTATGCATGATTGGTTATCTTTGCAAGCCTCTTCGAATTATCAGTTTGGTTTGGCCTACTAGATTGGTTTTTCTTGCCATGAGAGAAGTGCTTAGCTTTGGGTTCGATCTTGCGGTGTCCTTTCCCAGTGATAGAAGGGGCAGCAAGGCACATATTGTATCGTTGCCATCGAGGATAACAAGATGGGGTTTATTTCATATTGCATGAATTTATCTCTCTACATCATGTCATCTTGCTTAAAGCGTTACTCTGTTCTTAACTTAATACTCTAGATGCATGCTGGGTAGCGGTCGATGAGTGGAGTAATAGTAGTAGATGCAGAATCGTTTCGGTCTACTTGTCACGGACGTGATGCCTATATACATGATCATGCCTAGATATTCTCATAACTATGCTTAATTCTGTCAATTGCTCAACAGTAATTTGTTCACCCACCGTAGAATACTTATGCTCTTGAGAGAAGCCACTAGTGAAACCTATGGCCCCCAGGTCTATTCTCGTCATATCAATCTCCATCAATTTAATTTTGCTTTGCTTTTTTACTTTGCCTTTTACTTTTCACTTTGCATCTCTATACCAAAAATACTATCTATCAGATCTCACTCTCGTAAGTGACCGTGAAGGGATTGACAACCCCTAATCACGTTGGTTGCGAGTAGCTATCGTTTTATGCAGGTACGAGGAACTTGAGCATGGCCTCCTACTGGATTGATACCTTGGTTCTCAAAAACTGAGGGAAAATACTTACGCTACTCTGCTGCATCATCCTCTCCTCTTCGGGAAAAACCAACGCAAGCTCAAGAGGTAGCACACCCACATATCAAATTATCAAAGTAGCGAACACGAATCAAACCAACATGATGAAAGTGACTAAACGAAATTCCCGTGTACTCTCAAGAACGCTTTGCCTATTATAAGAAATCGTTTTGTCCTATCATTTGCCACAAAAGGATTGGGCTACCTTGCTACACTTTATTTACCGTTACTTGCTCGTTGCAAATTATCTTGTTATCAAACTACTTGTTACCGACAATTTCAGTGCTTGCAGAAATTACCTTGCTGAAAACCACTTGTCATTTCCTTCTGCCCCTCGTTGGGTTCGACACTCTTACTTATCGAAAAGACTACGATTGATCCCCTATATTTGTGGGTCATCAATGGGCGACGCCAACACAAAGCTATTCCACTTGCGGGCAAATGGGAGGCGTCGTAAAAATCACATCCCGATGCTGTCCAAACCTTGTGGTAAGAAAACTAACGATCACAATGAGAAGGCCGACATCCTACTACAACATTTCAAGGGCTTGATGGGAGCGTCTTACACAGGCAGATGCAAACTTAATTGGGATTTTTTTGAAAACGCCTACACATGATCGGTGACATCTTGATGACGATTTTTGTATGGAGGAATTAAAGGAGGTCATAGATGTGTTGCATTTTGAGCGAGCTCCTGGACCAGATGGTTTTCTTGGCATTTTCTTCAGGAAGTGCTGGGACATAATTAAGATGGATCTCATGCAGGCTTTGAGTTTGCTCCATTCTCTCCGAGATGACTATTGGGAACTTTTAAACTCTATGAATATTGTGCTCATCCCCAAGAAGGATGCTCATAGCTTCCCCCTGGACTATAGACCGATCAGTTTAATGCACAGTATTGCAAAAATCCTCTGTAAGCTGCTTGCCAACAGACTTGCACCTGAGCTCAGCATGTTGGTCTCTCATTGTCAAAGCGCCTTCATCAAGAAGAGATGCATCCAAGATAACTTCATGTATGTCCAAAATGTCATCCGAGTTGCTCAGATCAAGAAGAAGGTAACAATTTTCCTGAAGCTTGACATTACAAAAGCTTTTGACTCGGTTGGGTGGGGATACCTTGGCCGCTTTTGGGTTTGCAAATTGGTGGAGGAACATCATATCAATCATCCTAAGATCCTCCTCCTCCCGGGTCATGCTTAATGGCTCTCCAGGCGGGCCTTTCAAGCACATGTGTGGCCTCAGACAAGGGGATCCCCTCTCCCCGATGTTGTTCATTTTGGCTATGGAACCACTACAAAGACTTCTTGACTTCACGGCTGAAAATGGGGTGTTGTCCAAATTGGTTCCGCAGGCTTCTAGGCTCAGGGCTAGCTTGTATGCTGATGATGCCGCTCTCTCCCTGAACCCCATCAAAGGTGAGGTCGCGGCTGCTAGGACCATTTTGGACACCTTTGGTGAGGCCTCTAGGCTGAAGATCAGCGCGCAAAAATGAATTGCTTTCCCTATCAGATGCGAGGATCTCGATTTGCAGAACATCACCCGAGACTTGGGTGGAACCACGGGTAACCTCCCCTGCAGATATCTGGGTTTGCCATTAAGTCTTTGGAAGCGTAAACGGGTTGAGTTGTTGCCTCTTATTGATGGCATGGCGGGAATGCTAAAAGGTTGGAAAGGAAAACTTCTGGCAAGACCTGGGTGGCTTGCTCTTGTGAACTCTGTCCTGACTTCTATGGCAACCTTCTTCCTCATCTGCTTTGCCGCCAACAAACGGGTGATCAAGAGAATGGATAAGATCCGAAGGAACTTCCCGTGGAGTGATGAAGAGGAATGCAAAATCATGGTGGTCTCGAGATTAAGGACATTGAGCTTTTTAGTCGAGCTCTACGGCTGTGTTAAGCATGGTTAGCAACGACTCGAGACCTTGGCAAGGTATCCCTATTCCTTGTGATAAAATTGACCGACAACTTTTCTCGGCTTTCACGGAAATCACTCTCGGGGATGGGCAGCGGGCTAGGTTTTTGGAAAGATCGCTAGTTACAGGGCATGGTACATGCAAATATGGCCCCTGGTCTTTTTGCTCTTGCTTGAAGGAAAAACCTCTCTGTCAAGGATGCCCTTTTACAGGAATCGCTGGATGCAGGGCCTCCAAAGGATGAACAACGAGCTCCTGATCGACCAATTCATCCAGCTCTAGGAATTGATTCAACCTCTGATTCTAAGCAACGAACCTGATGCCATCACTTGGAGGTTGACGAATGATGGGGTCTACTCTGCAAAATCTGCATATGAGGCCCAGTTCATAGGACACATTTCTGCCCCTTTGTTGCATGCTACGTGGGAGGTCAAAGCTAAACCGAAGGTGCGATTCTACTTGTGGCTTCTACAACAGAATTGGAATTGGACTGCGGATCGTTTGGAGGCCAGAGGATGGCCTCACTCGGCTCAATACGTTCTGTGCGACCAAGTTCCTGAGACGGTGGCACATCTCACTCTGATTTGCCCCTTTGCTCGTGAGGTTTGATTCTGCTTTAATCAAACAGATAATACCGTTGCTGCGACTAATGCAACGTCGATGACGATTAGAGGATGATGCGAAAAAAATCTGGGCTCTCCGCAAGCAGCCTCACCTCGCCCCTCAAGTGACGACTGTTGTCTGCGTGGCCTGAAACCTGTGAAAAGAAAGAAACAGGCGAACATTTGAGGGCAAGAGATGTTCTCCTGAGACAGTAGCCACTTTGGTTAGAGAGGAGGTCACATTACTCAGAGAGGCCACTAGATAGTGTTATTTTCTTTTCTCTCTTTTGAGTTCTCATAAAATATCTAAAATAGTTTTTGCGGAGAGGTGTATATTAATTTTGTGCGACTACTCCCTCCGTTTAAAAATACTTGTGGCAGATTATAAGGGAGATGCTCTTATCCTGTTCGATCGAGGTGAGAAGAATGGAGATTTTCCCGCTCCTTGTCGCGTAGCGCGTGCAGCCCGCCTTTTAGCCCCTGCCAAAAATAAAAGTCAGGATAAACGGATAAGATAGACCCACGGCCACGGGGGCCGCTCGCCGGAGGCTGTTGCTCCTCCACGACGCCAGCGGCTACCTACTTACCTCCATGGCCGCCGGCGCCGCGGCCGCCGTACACCACCACCATCCTATCGTGGCTTCGCTCCGCCCTGCTTCGAGGCGGCTCAGCAGCAGCACCGGCGCCAGCAGCTCGCCGCCCCATCCCGCAGCCTTCCTCTGCTGCTCCCGTCCCAAGACGCCGAGCGTCCAGCTCCAGGCTCCCCGCGTTGCGTTCAACCCCTCCGGCAACTTCGACCTCTCCCTCTCCGACCAAGACGGTGAGCTCTACCAACATTAGCATTAGCAGCCACTTCACTGAAACCCAATTAAAATACCACTCCAAACTCTCCCTGGGACGATTAGTTTCACAGTGCAACATCAACAGACGGCATCATCTTCTTCTTTTTGAGCGAAACATATGACGAGATCTCAACATATGACACTATCGGAACCATGATTTTGGTTCCTGTCCTCAATTTATTTGTGCAAGGTCGTTGTGGCAATCGATTTTGGTATTCAGTAGTTCTGGAGAGGTACAGCATAGCATGCACCAATTCTGCATTGGTCAAGGCCTACAATTTTGCCACCCACACACAACTGGTTCTATTTTCCAACCAACATGATGATGTTAACTGACAGGGAATGTGCCCTGGAAATGCTCAAGTACCTACAAACTGCTTCTCATGTATGGCACCCTGTTATACCCTGTTCAGCTGCTCTGATAGCTTCTTCAAGGGTGATGGATTCGATTGTTGTATGTCAGTCAGATTATAAAGTCCTCACATGATAGTGTGTGCGTGGCGTGGAATTCATATCGTTGTTTTCCTTGAGTGAGCTCATATATTTTGCTTGCAATTAATATCCTTTCATTGCTTTCTTAGATGCACCACAAGTTGAGCCTCCTCCACCACCTACGGAAGGGCGCATCGAGATTGTTATCAACAAGGATATCATCCGAACACTTGACCTATCGCCCGTCCAAGAAGCACTCGGCAACCTGAATTCCTTGACGACAGGTAGTCCTTGGCCCTACGCCCCTACCTCGAACATCATGCAGCTGCATTTTGCACCAGGAGACTTTAACTGACCAGAATCTTATGCACGTTATTCAGCTCAATCAAGAAATCTGTTGGACAGAACCGTCGGTTTCACAATAAACTATGAGAGAGAGGATCCATACGATACGAGAGAACTGTCGGAGTTCCCAGACGTGAGGCTATGGTTTGTGAGGCTCGATGCCTCCTACCCCTGGTTTCCGGTGGTGCTTGACTGGAGAGCCGGTGAGCTCGCCAGGTACGCTGCAATGCTGGTCCCTCACCAGGTAACCACAGAAACTGAATCATCTGAAATCAGCACGTGTGGTCTCATCCCAAAAAAGTGCGACATACATACACTCGTGTGTCATGTTCAGAGGTGATGAAATTTACGAACTATTACTGCAGATGAGCATGCGTCATGGTGTAGTCTTCAACCCGGAGGCGCTGGAGCTGTTTGGGATGAAGAAAGTGTTCCTCGTCTACTCGTGGCTGAAGCAGCAGAACCATGCCAAGCCCAGGTTGAAGACGGGCGACATGTCCAAGATGCTCGGTTTCGGCATCGGAGATGAGTTGTTTGATTTGATCGAGAAGTATCCTGTTGATGAACTCTAGATCCTCATGCTGAAACAGTTGGTGAAGAATAGATATCATTACCCTGCAAAAAAAAAGGAAAAGAAAAGAAAAAAGATATCATCCACAGTTACTTACTGGTGCTATATATAGTGTACACCTGCCGTTCTTGTATACAGACCATAAGTGAATCAGGATTTATAAGAAGGTAGTCACGCAAGGGATAATATTTTGAGCGTAAAGCCTAGAGAATTTTCCCGGGCATGTAGCATCAGATGCTAATCACATGAGCGTTATAGCCCTTTTTGTCTTTTATGAAATGTGCACTTTTAAAAGGGCATGAAATCATTAAGAAAAAAAAAAGCAGAAACAACTAAAGCATAATTTGGTTAGCTCCAGGCCTGGATGCAAATGCCTAGCTTGTAAGGCCAACTAAGAATAAGGCTGAACTGAATGCACATATATTCCGCCTGGAAATGTATGGACTTAATTTCCCTTTTTTGAGGGTTGAAATGCATGAAGTTCACATTTTTTTTAGAAAAGGAGGATGACCCCCGGCCTCTGCATCTGGGCGATGCATACGGCCATTTTATTAATTATTGACACAAGACCGTACAGAGTCATACAACAATAAGTCTAAAGCCACCAAACAAGCAACAATTGTCGCTATCCCTATCCAGTTGATGTAGGGGCGCTGAAAGTCTGGGCCTAATACCAAACAGACCACGCAGCCAAACCTAAACATATAAAGACTTGAGGTCCCACCCAGGACGCCTGCCTGGTATGGGCACCCACCAGTCCGGCGTGCTTCTCAACCAGGACCCCTGCCGGGTATGAGGCCACCGCAGCCGCCTGCCACCAATCCATCTTCAGAGCTGTACTGCTGCACCGACCTTGCCAGGCCTATTTGCCATCAACGCCACCATGACGCCAGACAGCTTCCACCTCCTGCACGAGTCCATCTCCGCGCATCAGACACCGAGTCTCCACAGCGCCACGCCGCCGAGATCCGCCACCATCAATGTGTAAGATGAAGCACCGCTCCACCAAAGTTGCCGTCCTCTAGTCCCTCGAGCCCGTGTGCACCTCCAAGAATGACGCCCCCAGGGGGGAAACGACACCAGAGAGCCGCCGTCATCCGATCTACTGATCTAGGATTTCCCCCGGAGGTAGCAGAGAGTGGCCTTGAACTTTTCCACGACGATGCCTTCAGGAAGGGAACGACGCAGACAGCGTCGCCATCACCGGCCTTGGCATAGCCAATAGCAGGTTTTCACCGGGATCTGATCGAAGACCTCCATCCCTCGTGCACGGGTCGCCGCCGTCCTTGCCGGGATCTAGATGATCCCGCTGCTAGATCTCAGCAAGGAGAAGCCCCCCACCGAGACCCGCCGGCCGAGCAGGGGAAGCCGAGACCGCGCCCGCAGGATCAGATCCGTGATGGATCCATGCCCGCGCCGCCGCCCCGGAATCAGCCCCGCGCGCAGCCGCCACCGCCTGCCGAGGCTCGCCGCCGCGTGCCCCGCGCCCCACCACCGCTCGCCGAGGCCTGCCACCTCGCGCCAAACCGCGAGCGCCGCAGGACACCGCCGCCTGCCGCCTAGATCCGCCGCCCGCGGAGGAAGGGGAGTCGGGAGAGGGAGTCCCTGATGAGGTTATGTACCTAGGGTAGGGTCATGGACCTGATCCAAGTAACTTACCCCAGGACATCCTTAGAAGAGGTCGCCTTCCAGTCGACCAACGAGGATTCATTCGACTGGCCTGAAGGACTCGACCACGAAGACTCACTCGACCACCAGGAGGTCAAGAGGCACTCTGCACTGCAACGGCCTGTAATCAAGTAGACTTTATGATAGTAAAGGCACTTTATGTGGGGCGTTACCAGTAACGCCCCAGACTTAACTCACCTTAAACCCTCTCCTACGTGGGCTGGCTGGGGTCCTGGCGCACTCTATATAAGCCACCCCCCTCCACAGGCAGAGGGGTTCGGCACCTTGTAGCTCATATACACATAATCCACTCGATCGCCTCCGGGCTCCGAGACGTAGGGCTGTTACTTCTTCCGAGAAGGGCCTGAACTCGTACATCCTTTGTGCTTACAACCTCTCCATAGCTAGGACCTTGCCTCTCCGTACCTACCCCCCACTCTACTGTCAGGCTTAGAACCACGACAGTTGGCGCCCACCGTGGGGCAGGTGTTTTAGCGATTTTGTGGAGGAGTTGCGATTCTTCCGAGTACTTTCATCATGGTGTCTGCTGGAGTTTTGGTCGAGGGTCAAGAGATCCGTCTCGGCACTCTCACCTTCATCGCCGACGACTCCGCATGGCTCCAGGAGGCTCCACTCGACGTAGATGCGCTCCCCGTCCGCGGTGCGACGCATTTTCGCGCATGTGTCCGCGGCGTTCTGCTGCGGCAACCGTCGACCCAGTATCGGTCGGCTCCTCCATCGTCCACCCTCCCGGTCTCCCGCCAGCGCAAGCGCTCAGGCCGGTCGAGGCTTCAGCGATGGGTGAGTCACGCGGTGGCTCGCCAATCGGCCACCACCCAAGTTGCGGCAATCGAGCCCAACGAATCTCTCTACGGCTTGTTCGATCAGTCGACTGGCTCCATAGAGACTGCATCCGAGTGCGGAAGCAGTGATCCAGCGGCGGAAATCTTGATGGTCGACGGGCCCCACAGTCCTCCTGGCTTCGCCCGTGGTGGTGGAGCAGGTGACGGCGGCGACCCTGCGCGGGGTTACGAAGAGTACCAGCCCGAACCACTCGACTCTCTGCAAAGAGAGGAACTTCGCCGCAGGAACGAGGATCCCCTGCGTATTCCCATCGCAGGAGAAACCCCCGAGGCTCGTGCCTTGGAGGAGGCGCGTCTGGCCAATTTGGCCGAGCGCACTCGACTGGAGAACCTTCAGCGAGCACTCGACGAGCGCGCGCGGCAACGAGTTCCCGACACCAGTCGATGTCAACTCTTCCCGCCGACTCAGGTATATCGAACCCCAATTCAGAATTTAGCAGCTGCGGCCCGTATAGCAGAGTCCATCCAGCCTTCGCAGTCGAAAGCTGGCAGAGGTTTGCTGCAGATCAGGGATCTGCTCCGGGCAGCAGGAGATCAGAATTCAGCCGTGTCTCAGTCGCGCAACAGAATTCACAGTCGATCCGTCACTGTGAATACGGTTCAGTCGGCTCACAGCCCCAGATCGCCTCCGCAGCGCGAAGGGCGCGAGAATCGGCGAGATCAATATGGCGACAGATTCGACCGAGATGATAGGCGTCGAGTGCCCTATTCCCCTCCGAGGGGTGGGTCTTACGCTCCTCGGCAGCCAGATGATAGGCGTCAGTACAGTACAGGGCGTAGGGTTCCAGTTGACCCTAGAGAACCAGGCTTCGACGCGCGGTCCATTATCGTGCAAGGGTTGGTCGACCGGAACAGAGCTCATCGAGGTGCACTCGACAGAGATGTACCCACAAGCAGTCAACTGCATGTTTCTGGTCCTGAATGTTTCAGCAGAGCTATCAGAGCCGCAGTTATTCCTCCCAATTTCAGGTTGGCAACAGGAGTCAGCAAGTTCACTGGTGAGTCTAAGCCTAAAACTTGGCTTGAAGACTACTGAGTGGCAGTTCAGATCGGTGGTGGGAACGACGAGGTGGCCATGAAACACTTGCCTCTCATGCTGGAAGGTTCTGCCAGGGCATGGTTGACTCAATTACCTCCTAGCAGCATTTACACTTGGGAAGATCTGTCCCGAGTGTTCATCAGAACGTTTGAAGGGACTTGCAAGCGACCAGCTGGATTGACAGAGTTGCAAGTCTGCGTACAGAAAACTAATGAGACTCTCAGAGAGTATATTCAGAGGTGGATCACTTTGCACCACACTGTGGAGAATGTGTCCGATCATCAGGCAGTCTGCGCCTTCAAAGATGGTGTCAAGAACAGAGAACTGAGTTTGAAATTTGGTCGAACCGGTGACATGACCTTGAGTCGGATGATGGAGATTGCTACCAAGTACGCCAACGGCGAAGAAGAAGACCGACTCCGAAGCGGCAAGCACAAGCCGAGTCAGTCGGAAAAAGGAAACACCAGTCGGAAACAGAAGCGGAAGGCTGAACCGGCAGCTCCTGGAGAGGCTCTGGCCGTGACTCAAGGAAAGTTTAAGGGGAAACCAAAAGGATCCTGGAACCCCAAGAAGGTAAAGGATAAAGAAGGGAACGACGTGATAGACATGCCATGTCACATTCACACGAAGAAAGACGAAGAGGGAAATATCATTTACCCAAAGCACACCACTCGCCAATGTCGACTCCTGATCCAGCAGTTTCAGGGAAAACAGTCTAAGGACAAGGAGAAGGAGTCGAACAAGGCCGAAGACAAGGAGGACAGTGAGGGAGGATATCCGCATATCAACTCCACTCTGATGATCTTTGCAGATGTGGAAAGCAGAAGTCGACTGAAAGTGATTAACCGAGAGGTGAACATGGTTGCCCCAGCAAAGGCAAATTATCTGAAGTGGTCTCAAACACCCATCACATTCGACCAATCTGATCACCCGACTCATATTGCCACCCCTGGGAGGCAAGCTTTGATGGTCGATCCAGTTGTCGAAGGCACTCGACTGACAAAGGTGCTGATGGATGGCGGAAGTGGGCTGAACTTATTGTATGCAGACACATTGAAAGGTATGGGCATTCCGATGTCCCGACTGAGCACTAGTAACATGAGCTTCCATGGAGTTATACCAGGGAAGAAGGCCGAGTCACTCGGCCAGATAGCTTTGGACGTGGTGTTTGGTGATTCGAAGCATTTTCGCAAAGAAAAGTTGACGTTTGAGGTCGTGGATTTTCAAAGTGCATATCATGCCATTTTGGGGAGACCAGCCTATGCACGGTTCATGGCTCGACCATGTTACGTGTACCTCAAATTGAAGATGCCCGGTCCCAAAGGTGTGATCACTGTCACCGGTGATAGGAAAAAGGCAGAAGAGTGCTTTCAGAAGGGCTCCAAGATTGCCGATTCCCAGGTGACAGCAGTCGAGTTCGAAGAATACAAG